CTGCCAAGTCCACCACTAAACCATGTCCCTTGCTGTAAAATAGAAGAATCCCAATGTATAAATTATTGTAAAAGGAGCCAGCTTTTTTGGGGGGGACCAAAAAACCACTGCCATCCTCTCTGCACTCATGTATATTTCTTAAGACAAGTAATTTTAAAGCATTCCTAACTATGAGAGTGCTAAGGCTGTAGCACAATCTTCTAGTAAGAGTTCAGAGGATCAGCAGCTGAGGTGATCTTATGACTGACTTATGTTCATGAAAGGAACATAGAAATGCTGCTTGAGATTGCAGAGGACAGAGATCTCTTGCAGTCAAACACTCTTGTTTGGAAGAAGAGAAGGGATGGAAAGTTTCTGAACAGAAATTAGAAGGTGCTAACATCAGTGCTGTACACAGATAGCCATTACACTGCTGGAACTTTTCTGCCATGGTACTAGCAGGCTAAGATGTGGCTCAGACACCTTCACTTAGAGGTAAATGCAAATCCCTTCGATAAGAGGCCCCTGATGTTTATCCACACACTTTCTGAAAGGCAGAAAGATCTGCAGGCAGTTATGAATTTGTTGACGTGTTGTAAGTTCATAAGCTGCCTCCTTTTCAGTAATTTATTTCAGTCCTTGTGTAACACATCCTGTTTACATTCCAAAGTTTTACCATGTTAAAGTATTAACGTCTTTAAAGCAGAACAGTTGTCCTGGTTGCATTCATACAAACCCAAGCCATGCCTTTGTACTTTTTATTTTATGGGAACGAGATGAGCTATGAAAGTGTAAAAAGGTTTAGTAAACACAATTGGGTCCCAAGTATGGATTGTACCTATGTAATTCAGAATGAAGTGTATTCTATTACTGTAATATATGAATACCAAACCAGAGCCTGTGAACAGGCTAACTGTGGAGATTAACGGCACAGACCCAGAGCATCTGCATGCAGTGAATCACTTTATTGCCTACTGCTCTAACTCTTTATACCATTCTAACAACAGTTATTTTTAGCTCTAGCTTTTATACCATTCTGTTTGTAGCCTATCATGTTTAATTCCTGACTTACAGTTTGTTTTTTAACACTGCTCGCTTTCTCACAACCAGTCCCAGAATAGCCAGTCTCATTTTTATGCTCTCTCCTCCTCAGCCAGGTGTCTTGGTGTCTTATGCTCTCTCCTGCTCAGCCAGCTGGGTTGCTCTGCTTGATTGTACTTTGTTTCTTCTTTAACTCTTCCTTCTCCAGCCAAGCAGTTGCTTCTCTTTGGCAATAATCAAACAGTTTCCATTCTCTCCCACAGCTAACTTTATTTTTAGTGAAAAGTGAAATATAAGCATCTCTTCTTGTTCTTATGACTGTCCTTTGTGCTCCACCAGAGTGAGATTGACCCTGTATTTTTGGAAACACTGACGTAGTGATCCATAGTACTAGATCTTGAAGTTATTTTGGTTTTGCGACTTGGTCTGAAGATAAGTCTAACATCAGTTCAGTGTAACTTGGGCTACAGCATTCCCTTTATCACAGTGTTCTGAGAAATGTTAACATTCTGTTGCTCTTTTTTAAGTTGGGTTCAGGGATTCTCAAACAAGAACTTTGGCTTTGTCAACAATCAAACTGTCTGCTACCCTTGTGGCAATTACATCCTCTTCCTGGACATTGAAACAAAGAAGACGACAGCGCTGCAGTGTCAGACTGGCCAGGTGGGAGCCTTCGCAGCGAATGGAAACAGTCACGTGTTGGCCTTTTCGGACCGGAGGCTGAATCCCATCATATATATCTACAATTTTCCAGAACTCACTAAACTGACAGAATTAAAAGGTAGTGATGAAGTAATCCTCCCTGTCACCCTTTCATTAAAACAATACTTAAATCATGCACTTCCTGAAGGGTTTTTTTTTTATAACACGTGAAAAGCTGACCGAAAAGTGTCTCATGACAAGATGCTTGGAAAGCAGTGGAAGGAATTTTCCACTGCACTACTTTTAATTAGGCTTAAGCTAGGGAGGAATAGGACAGTACAAAATGGAGCGGGTTTAAAGGGAAAACAAATTGAATTAATTTTAGGAAAATATAATCAAAATCACAAGAAAAATCATACTGCAGTAGGCTCCAAGCAGTCTGCTGAAACCACATTGACAAATCTGAGATGTGAGAGGAATGAGGGTTCTTGCAGTTAAATTCTGGAGTCTGGGATTTTTTTTTTGCCTGCCTCCTAACATTTCTCTCCTTAGTTAAGTTGCTTACCTTACTCGTGTTTCAGCTTCCTTTCCATTTAAATAAGTATCATGCTACTCGCGTTTTTCACGTATACGAACCAAATTATGACTGCAAAGGATTTCAGGGTACCTGGGACAAAACCACTTTAAAAATCCAAGGTATTCTTGAAAAAAATTGAAAAATCTCCAAGCAGTGATACATGGGGAACATTTTTATAAGTAAATAAAAAATATAATCTTAGTGAAGCAAAAAGATTAGAGGCTTTAAGAATGTCTTTGAAGAATTAATGTGGATACAAAGGAACTGGGAAGAGTACTCTTAGCTAGGATAGTGTACAATAAAGTCTGGGGTGATTAGAGACCATGTTCTTTCACATTTTCAGGTAATGCTCAGCTGGACTACACCTTGCTTGCATTGAGTTTCACAGGTCCATACCTAGCCAGTTACTCTTCCATCCCAGAATTTATTCTTTCAATATGGTAAGAGTTTAAAATCTAATACCATTTACATTTAATTCATATTTTTGTGTGTGTGCTGTTGTAGTGTAAATTAACAAACGTGGAAGACATGCTGGTTGCCTTCGTCTCCTTTTTCCCCCTGATTGATCGGTGTCTGCAAACTTTCTGTACCAAAGTTGGTGTTGATTTTCTAGCATTAGTAGCCACTAGTCAGAATGACTGTTAACTTTGCTACAGCTATCTTCCGCCCTCTTCAAAGTCTTCAGCATCAGTTAATTACCTGTTCACCCCTGGAAGCTGAATACCGTGCTGTTAGTGAAAAAAACTTGCCTGCTGAAAAGAGGAAAAGCATTTTAAAGCCAATTTTTACTTTCTTTGTGCCCCCTGGACCATTTAGTGGTCCTCTTAATTAATTGTGCTTGATCTTACTTCTGTCTTACAGTTTTGTTCACTGATAACACTACCCTGGCTCACTGGGTTAGATCATTTTCTGCTCATCATCATGAAAAGAAGTATTAAATAATACAGTGCAGAAAGTTAGTTCTAACAGACAGTTAGAATATTTAATTCTTAAAAGGGTTCTGTAAAACTATAATCCTCGTCACCTCCATTGCCAGCAAGCGTGCACTGACTGTGGAGCATGAGCCCTTCTTCAAAGCAGATGGGGAGCGTGGAGTAGGAGGAAGGCAAACAAGGACATGTAAGGAATATTTTGTATAGTCCCAATTTAATTGTGACCTTTTCTTGTACAATGATTAGCGAAGAGGCAGAAACTCCTGTAACTTCAGAATTTCAGTGATGATGGTAGGTAGAATTACAGATGCCTCTTCTTTATCCCTTATGAAGAAGAATAGTGTTTGCTGTGAACTCTGATCACATGCAGTAATTCAGGAAGGATGACTGTGTGTGTATCACAGTAGAAACCAACAAGGCAGCCCCACTGGCCTGAAGAGCTTACATGTGTGTCAGAGCAGAAATAACATGCGTGATCTAATGTGTTCTTCATGTGCACTTCAACAAAAATCCACCATCTTGAAAAACTTCTTTAGATTGTTCTTAAAACTGGGAATATCTGGAAATGTTTAAATGCTTTAAAGTAGTGGTAATTTCCAAGGCCAATTTAAACTTATTTGCATCAGCATGAATATGGCTATCAGCAGCTCTTTGTCATGAAAGAACCCTCCTAGATTCTAGTCAGAAAGAATTTAGTAGTAAAATAGAATTACCATACAATATTCAACATAGAATTTATAATAACTTGAACAGAAGTATGTGAATTTACTGTGAGATCAGGACCTTCATTTTTGCAATTGGATTATATTGTTCATTCATTGTAGAAATGTGTATGTACAGATGAGAGAAATCTCAATCAATGTGTAATTGCAATACAATGATTGCACAGTTCCTGTATTTTAAGCAGTTTGGAATCAGACGTTTAAGAGATGTTTTGAAAGTTTTGTCAGTCTTAAAATATAGAAAGCCTATGGATAACTAAAAGCTGCCTTTCATCTGAGATATTTTATCCCTAGATCTTTATTCTGTTCTGTTCAAAGGGAAGGCTTAATGCCAGATTCTTTTTCAGATACATGTACTATATAGTTTCAGATCTTAGTATTTTATCTACTATAAAAGACTGTTGGCACTATCTGTTAGGTATGAGATGAGAACATGCTGACAGATCTTTAGAGAAAGAGCTACACTGATGTCTTTTAAAGTCAGGATTGCAGTTTATAGCTTTCTGTAATTGTTACTGTGTATGTGTGAATACTTCTCTCTTTTTTTTTTTTTTTTTGCATATGCCATCAATATTAACCATTGTCTTGCATCCTGACCTGTTTATGTGAGTGAATTTATTACAGGCCAGAAAACCAGGATTATACTAAATCCATTTACAGCAGTGTATGCATTTTAGGTTTTGTTTCCTCTCAGCAGTAAAGATAAATACTAAAGCTATAAATGTTATTTAGATTAACAGTCAGATACATTGTCCAATAAATTAAGAAGCAGCTTCAACCATTTGCTTCACATGATGTTAATCAGTTCTTGGACATCACCTAAAAATGCAAATGCAGTCAAGAATTAATCTAGATAATGGAAAAATACACAAAGTAGATTACAAGAACATAAAATAGGTTAGACTGGACAAAAGGAAATACAGTGGAAAGCAGATTCCTAGCCTCGTGTCAGCTATACATAACAGCCCTACACAAATTCTGCTGCTTTGTGCTCACATTAGTTAATGCAGCCTTAGCTTGCGTATCTGCATTCACAGCACAGTTATTGTATTTCCTAAGTAATTAATCCATAGATAATCAGGGGCTGACTGTGGTTTATTTCCTAATAATAATCCCTTCCATCTGCAAGCCTGAAAGCATTATAATTATGGAAAAGCATGGGTTGGAAAAACAAGGCTGAGGGATGGGGTGCTGAAGAGTTGATTGTTTGGGCCATGCAAAAGTCTCTCATGGAACTGATAGAAAAAAAAAATCCATGTCTCATGAGTCTGTTGGTCTTTTCACAAAAGGAAGTGCATGATAACATTTCTAAAATGGCAGTTTTAAAAATTATTTTACTATTCATTCTTTTTGTAGCAGTAATAATTTTTGGTGTGGCTAATTAACCACCTCCTTTGCATTTTTGTAAGGACCTAACTTGTTTGACAGCAAAAACTTTTTGTCAGTGACAAAATACTTGTTTTCCAAATTTGATCTTTAAAATCAGTCATAATCACATCCAGATCTTTAGCATGAATGGTTTTGACTTATTTAATGGATTTGATTTTCTTTTACTCTCCTTAATGAAGGAACTGGCAAGAAAATCTCCTGCTGTGCAGCAAGTCTCAGCCAGGGGTGACAGTGACATCTATGAGTTTTAACCCTATGAATTGGCAACAACTCTGTCTTGTTGATGAGACCAATGTTACTGTCTGGCATATTGAAAGGAATAATGATGAGCATCACCTGCAGCAAAAGTAAGTGGAAGACCCTTCAGGTTAAGAGAAAAATCTAGTCGTTTGTTTTAATTACTAAAACTAGCAACCTACATCTGTTCACAAAGAATTTAATCCAATTTAGTTCACCAAGCAATTGCAATCACCACCAGTGTGGATCTATCTGGTAAGTCAAGTTAATTGAATTTATGATTTAATTTCTTAGCACTCACACGTCCAGATTATGCACATCATGAAGCTAATACTAATCAGCTGCCTTGGCAGCCTCCATCAAAAGCTGCATAACTGAATTAAGGTATTACCTGGACTGCTTTCCTGCAAGTGGCTATGTTGAGTATTGCTTTTGTAGCTATGAAATCACCACATTTGGATCAAGTTGCTTCCTAGTAAGCATAGTTAAACAATATGCTGTTTTATTTGCAAATTGTACCTAAACCAGTATCAATTTTCTGTATGATTTCCACCTTGTGTGGCCAATTTACTGATCCAGAGGGGGTGGCTCTGTCAATGCGATTTACTGAGCACAGAAAACCTAGAATTTATTTATGCAAAAATGGCTTTTGAAGTTGGTATAAAAGTCATAGGGTAACCATGAATATATTGCCAACTATTGCTATATACTAGTGAAAGTATAGACAAGGCCTTAATTTGAGATCTGAAAAGAATACTGAAGGGGGGTTTGCCTCCTGTCTATATAGAGTACACATGTGAAAATACATATATTCTCCTTTTTCCTCACTTTTCATTCCATTCAGTAGAGGCATTGTAACAGCCACTCATACACCAATTTCTGGAGCGCAACAGGCAAATACTGCTACTAATTTTTCATCATTGTTAAACTTTCTGCAAGTAAACATAAAGCAGGAATCCTCACACCATATGCAAGCTAAGTGTGTGACTTTACTAATCCTGGTTAATAACATAGAAATGTTATTAACCATAGAATGTAACATAGAATGGTTGTTCATACAAGGCAACAAGACACTGAGCTAGAAAATGGCAATCCGTTTCTGTCCATTAGGAACATTCCTCTTTTGTAGTAGCCTTGCTATTACTTTTCAGTGAAATGGTATGTGCCACGTAGAATGATTGTCTGCAACAATCCTTCATTACTCTCACAGAAGCAAAGCCCATTAAATGAGGTGGTGCCTCAAACTTTTGATAACCTGCTTCTCAGTTTTGTGTCAGCATTTCCTGTTCATAATATTTCTTCTCCTCAGACAGTGTCTCTTGCTTTTTTGCAGCCCTGTGGAACTCCCTGATGCACAAGGGTCTGTGAGTCATCATACAGATTTGTTTTTCCCCATTTCTTATGATGAAGACCCATACTATGGCCCTCTTTTGCCAGTTTCAGCCATTGCTGGACTGGAAGGAGATGAAGCAGAAACATTCATGGTAAGTACTGGTTTGGTGGTTTTTTCCTTTTTACTATTCCAAGTCATTATACTTTTTATGCGAAAAGGTGTTAATAATTTAGACAGGTACAATCAGTAAATAGACCTGTTGCTTCAATAATATTTTTTAAATCCATTTTGACACGAGACTTAGAAATCGTGCTGCTACTGCACAAGTCCTAGCATAGTCATATATCTGCACAGTGGAGGTACTAATCTGTATCCCAGAAGCAGTATAAGCATGTCAGCATTTAACCATGCCCAAGCTAATGTGCCCTGCTGAAATCTTGAAAACCTATTCCAGTGCTAAACTGATAGTAACCTTCAGGTATCCTTACTTCCCTTTGGGATTTGTTTTCTTTTTGACTGAAATGTCACAAGCTATGGAAACGTGGAAGGCTTCATTTCAGACAGCAACCCCTGCTTCTGAAATACACTCCAGTGCCACTGTCAGTGTTGAACTGGCCTGTTTGTCTCACTTGTATTTGTTCATTTACTTGTTAGCTTCCCTTGAAATGCCTCTTTTGAGAGGCCTCAAAATTCTTCCCACTTTGAAATTTTCTTTCACTTGGCTCCAACCAGAAGCATCTGCCAGTGTGAAAACATTTAACTTGCAAATCAGGGATTCTAATTCTAAGATTAAGACCATCAATTTCTGTGAGGTGGCTTGTGATATATGAGAGATGCCCAAACTACCACGTATAAGATGTTACTGGCATTATACTATGTCTTTTCAGTGGACAAATGTAAGTTCTGTTTTATCAGATTAGTAAACCACAGGCTTCTGCCATAAACTTTTCTTATAAAGCAAAATAAAAAATGTAAACAGGGAATAATGCTTTCCTGACCTCATCATCTTTCCATGGCTTCATGCATTCTGATTAACACAGGTTTTTCACTGTGTACCTGCTGATGCCCTTGGTTTCCAGCACAATCAGTAGCTACAAACAAACATCATCTTCTGATTCAGTTTACACATGAACTGCTTTTATTTCAGATCACTTAGAACACAGAAATGGAAATGCTCATCAGGGGCATTGCCTTTTTCTTCTGCCTTACTGCCTCTTGTACGATGTACAGACGATGAAGTGCAAAACCCACTTTGTCCTTTAGCCTGTGAAGTGAATTACAAGAGGTATTGGGGGAAAAAAACAACAACTACTGTATTAGGTCTGTGAGGCTTAATAGAATTCTCCTGTCCTTGAATGGATGCTATTCCATTCCGAAATGCTAAGTTCTTCTGCTTGTACTTGCAGAACCACATCATGAGCTTTCCACATGGAAAAGCTTGTGCTTTCAACCATACTTGGTTGAAAAGTTTGGGCAGGTTCTTGAGAAACCTTGTCTAGCAGGAGGTGTCCCTGCCCATGGCAGGAGGGTTGGAACTAGATGATCTCAAGGTCCTTTCCAACCCAAACCATTCTGTGGTTCTATGATTCTATACTAGAAACCACTATAGGGTCTTTGCATTCCTAACTGCCTTCAGAGAAACCTAGATTTCTTTTTAGCACCTTCAAGGTGATTATGTTCTCCTTAGAAATAATATCTGGAGTAAGAGTAGATTGTTCTACTAGTCTTTGATGAAGATTTCCTTCTCTTTCAAATTACATGGTAGTTATTTACTGTCCAACTTCCCTAGGTGGGTGTATTTTGGTTGTGAATATTGACAAGGTAATGAACAGCAGGTTATTTAGAAAGGAAAGGGTTTGGGTTTTTTTTTTTCTCAGAAATACATGCTGCTGTTTTTCCTTTTGTTCTTGTGGTGGTATGTTGTTTCCTGTAAGTTGTGAGGTGCTACACTCACTGTTTAGCACTAGGAGATACCGAACCAATTTCTTGCATGTTTTCACCTTGCTCCATACTATGAAAGATGAGTAATTTTTTGCAGGACTTGCATTTATTGTGCTTTACAGCACGAATTCTCCCTTCCATGCATGCCTGTGTACATATGTTCCATCTCTAGCAGAAAAACTGTGCCACTACTAGGTCTTGTGACACCCCACACTGGCGAGGAATCATATGCATTTGTCTTGTCAGATTAAGCACCCTCTTCCAGCACCCCAGCATGGAACAAACAGTTTTGGCAAAGCAGTTCCCGCACAAGTTGGTGAGAATATACTTGATGGACAAGATACTTCTTTGAAATACTGTTTTATCAAGACCCGTGTGTTGAAAAGTGTCTAATGCAGCACCTTTGAGAGAGACTGAAATGACTGAACTTGCTGTGTTCCCCAGATATCCATATATCTTCAGATTACAGTTGCTGTAATAGACCAGGCTGTCCATTATAGAGCTGCTGTAACTACTGTTCTTCACTGTCTTTGTACACTGACAGGCTGCTGTAGCAGATGTATCAACAGTTATGATCACTAATGATTTGTGTACCATTACAAATGTCCATGAGAAGTTGTCTGACTCTGGCCTAAAATCTGTGCCTCCACATTTGTAAATACCTCGGAGTTATTTTCCTCTCTCCTACCATCAATGTTTTTTCAATTAATAAGAGACAACCTGCTTCTCCTGTGGTGGTTCATGAGGCATGTTTAGCTGAATGCAGTGGGAATAGTATCATGGCCTGACAAAGCTCTCCCTATCACCATAAGCATTTGACAGAAGGATTTTTGTTCTTTGTCACTAAATCTGAGTCGGTTGAGATCAATGTTTTTCACATTGATGTGAGCATCCAAAGCGGAGAACCATTTATTTAGGCTATTATTAAAAGGAGCTGTCCTCAACCTGTATTACATGGTCTTTGGAGGCTGTAGCCCACTCCTAAGGGGTGCATGAGAGGCAAGTAAGAAAAGCAAGCCCATTGCTAGTGCACTTGTTTGCTGCTTTGAAATGTGTTAGGGTTCCATACTCTAGAACAAGGTTCTGAGGCTGGGTATGTACCAAGGTGTAACCACAATGGGGCAGCAGAGTGACAGGAATTGAAATCTACTTGCAATCCTTTTCTTTCTTGAATTAGATTGGTTTACTTTTGTTTCAATATTTCTTAAAATTGGGACCTGAGTTTTCTTTGCCATAACAAGCCTACTTAACTCCACTTCTTCCCCAGGACCAATTTTATTACATTGTCTTTTTATAAAACTTTTCATGACAAGAATCCATAATGGATATTTTTTCCCTGAAGAAACTATCTCCAGACATAGTCTTCTTTGGAAAATGTTCTTGTTTCTCAAGTTAGAAGCCTCAGTGAACAAATGACTGAATAAAGTAAGGCTGATGTTATACAAGTGGTCATACTCTTTAAGTTAATGATGTTTTTTCTTGCCCTAAAATGTATGTAACTGCTTGTACAGATACTTGCTAATTATTGATTGAATTTGTTTATTTTTGTGCTGAAGCCTAGAAATTGTATTAAGCCTTTGCTGCATCCAACTGCCCACTGCTGGTCTGCAACCTCTGAAATTTACATGGGCTGCAAAGAAGGATATGTTTTGGCAATTGATGCTGAGACATGCGGTGTTTCTGTTCTTGAACAAGAACCTCTGCCTGGTAAGAAATAGCTGCATTGTGTGTTTTATTCAAGTAGGGAGGAAAGTGGGTAGGTGAAAGCTTTTTTTGCTTTCTTCTGTTCTCCTGCTGTGTACCTTACAGCAATTGTAAAGCTATATTGTGGAAGCATATTTCTCTTATTATTATGATAAGCATTTGAAAATATCTTTTGAACTTCTATTTAGATTTCTTTTTTGGCTTTCATTTTTATCAAATCTGATAAAATGAACAATATTTGTAGGAGCCCAGATCTTATTAACCAGTCCTACTAGATTAACATTAAACTATTACTATACCAGCTGTACACAGTCTTTATACTATTAGCTAAGTACCAAGACTTTATTTTATTTTGCATGAAATATTGGATTGTCCTCATTTGGTGTGTTAGATGATGTTAGAACAGATCTTTGAAGACTCATTTTAAGTCTTCAAACAACAACGCTGAATTTAAGGTAATGTTGCTTAATAGAATTCCTTAAGGTCAGCTCTTACATAAACCATTTTCTAATGAAAACAAGGCCGTAAAGACAATCAGGCTTTACTGCAGAAAGCATGAAGCACAGAGGGTAAACAGAAGATGTCTTTGTCTTCAGCCAAAGAAATCTGCTTTTAATTTATTCTAGAATGTGAGTTACTCAGATTGATTGCAACTTGCCAAGGTGATTTGTCTGCCCTACATATATTTCACGTATATATATTCCTATATATATGTCTTTTTTCATGGGGACTATTGGCTGGCTAGTGACTGACTAAAGTTTTCTGTCAACAGCAGCCTATTCCATGCCTTCTTTTTTTCTGGGAATCCTGAGGTATCTCCTCTGCTGTCTGCCACATGCTACCCTTCTGTGCCCATTCAGAGCAAGATGGAGGGCAGTGAGACACAGCCGACATTAAATGTTTTGGCAATGGCAACCTGTACCCTATCATCCTTTGCAGGGATGGAAGGTGTCAGTCCAACCATGTACATGAAGTTCACTGGTTCAGTCAAGTCTAAAAGGATACTGTAATATGATTCTCCCTAGCACTAGCACTGGGTAATACCCTATTTTAGACCAGCAGAGAACTGTTTCACTAACAAACACTGAATCAGACTGGGTATTAGGAAAAATTTCTTCACCAAAGGGGTTGTCAAGCATTGGAGCAGGCTGCCCAGGGAAGTGGTGGAGTCACCATCCCTGGAGGTGTTTAAAAGACTTGTAAATGTGGCACTTAGGGACATGGCTTAGTGATAGTCTTGGCAATGTTAGGTTTATGGTGGGACTCGATGATCTTAAAGGTCCTTTTCAACCTGATGACTATGATTCTATTATAGACAGGCCAGTGATAATTTTTTTTCTTGTTTTGTCATGCAATACATCATTGGTTTTTAAGCAAGCAGCAGGTTTCCCTGACATTCCCAAAGTACTGTATCTCTATTCAGTTTTGATAGTTTACACAGAAATGGAAGGCTGCTTTTAAAAATACCCTGACAAACCAGCATTATTTCTCTGCTTTTGAAATTATCAGAGTTTTAAGCTTACCAAACCAAGAGCTGGAAATCACCAACAAATAAAAAGCTGAAGTGTGACCAGAAATGTTTTTGGCAGTTGAGTAGAAAGAAACAAGAATATTTGCCATCCGGGCTTTTCATTGACCTGTGTTATTCTTCTTTGAGTCCTGTCCTAAAACTGTCTAACAAATCTGTTTGTATTCATATTTTAATGAAGCTTCTGCTTAATGTAAAGCATACTACAGCTTGTATCTATTTAGCAGAATGCTTAAGTGCATGTCCAGCTTTAAGCACATGCTAAATTCCTATTATAGTGTTGCAAACGGAACCATAAGCAGCCACAACATTTCACCTGGGGGCATTTTTATGAGACTGACTGAAGTTTCCTTCGTAAGTACATGAAATAAAAAAACCCAAACCCATGCTTAGAAATAAGAATACCAGCACTTAGCACTAACAGATATATAAATCTGCATCTGTACCACTCTCCATGCCAAGTATTGCTATTTCCCTTTTACAGCTGTAAGCTGAAGCACAGAAAGATTGTGCTTGCTCAGTTACATAAATGACAGAAATTATGGATATTAGGGAAGATTCAGTGTACTGAACCTGGGCTTTTGTTTGGTAGACTGGAATACAGCTGACTTTTATTGCAATATTGACATATAAACAAGGTTGATGTTATAAGTTGTTTTCTTTTGTGCAGACCACCTGCGTAAAATGTTGGACGTGGTATCTTATGTTCACAAAGAAGTACAGAGAAAGAAAGGTATTTCCACAGTCAAATTAAGCTAATAGCACCACTGATGCCTGTGTCTGGGAGTAATAATATGAGAGAACAGCTGGAAGCCACTGGTTGGAAAAACTCAGCTCACACTGGCCTCTCTAAGGCACATTGATGGCAAGTTTTTATATATTGACATGACACATGATTAATAGCTTTTGTGCTAATAGACGGCCACATGAATAGCCTCAGGAAAAACAGTGGCAGTGAAATCATTTCTGTTCATTCTAATTTAAATTGGAATAAGGATGCTAGAATAGGTTCCCTACTGCTTAGTTTTAATAACTTTTTTTTAGAACTGCAATCACGTGTAATTTAGTTGAGTTAGTATTTAGGGAGTTGTTTCAAACACTGTTTTGGGCTCCATAGTAGAAAAAAGATACTCAGATAATGGACGGAGTTCAGCACAGGTTCACAAAGATTATTGCAGTCTCAGTACCCAACACATAAAGGTAGGCTGAGAGAACTATGTTTGTTCAGCCTGAAGTAAAGGAAATGGGGGATTTTACTATTATTTTACCTACCTAATGAAAGGTTAAAGAGAAGATGGAACCAGGCAGGCAAAGGACACAGTTTGCATCAGTGGAAATTCTAGGTAGGTATTAGGAATAAAAATACTTTCACAGTGAAGGTAGTCAGACATTGGGAAAAGTTGCCCAGAGAAGCTAAGAAAATTACATTCTGGGGTATATTCAGACCTCAGCTGATTATGATTCTGGATAACATGCTCTGACTTTGAAGCTGGCTCTGAGTTTGAAGTTGGCTCTGTGCTGATCATGAGATTGGATCGGAAGACTTCTAGGGTCCCTTCTAACCAAAATGATTCTGTTATTGACCAACTTTAATGTGGCTATTTAGCAGCCTTTACAAAATCAAATGATTTCTCAGATTAATTTCTACTTCATCCTACCACAGTAGTACTGTCACTTCAAATTATGTATACCAACCTTCTGCTTCATTATCACAGCAAAAGTCCAAAGAATATTTAGCCCACAGAGCCTTTTTACTCACAAGTAGTACATCATCCCAGTTTTGAAGTTGAGACATATTGTTGCAATAAATCAAATTTGATATTTTATGTTGGTTTTGTGCTCTCAGGTGATATACCAAAGGATCTGCAAAAACCAGTTTTATTTGGCATGGCATTTTGTAACGAGGGACTGTATGCTGCTGGAAGCGTAAGGCATCTTTTATGCTTTTAGCTTACTGTGTGAAAATCAAAGAACATTCAAATGGACTGTATTTGCAGAGTTCACCACAAAGACAGGAGTTAGAAAAAAGTGGAGGGCTGCAGAACTATAAAGGTCCTCTCTGATGTTGTATACATTTTCTTTGTTAAGACTTGAGACAAGAAATCAGAAGGGAGCAGGGTGGGAAGGGATTCTATTTTTGTAGTCATAGAAGCAATAAAAGAGGACAATCCTCCTTTTAACAAAAGATAAGGAGTATTCTAGAGGAACAGAAAAGGAGGATGGGCAAAAAGCAGGAGAGAAAATGGCCAACGGAACTGCCAAATTGTTTTGTGCAAATCTAACTCAATATTTAACCCAAACTGATGATACCATTGTACGTTCCTGCTTAAGAGTGGGACAAATTCTTATACTGTCTGAAAAAAATCAATATGAAATCTGAGGCATTAACTGATGAAAGAGACGTTTTTATGAGGCATGGACTGTTACTATGAGTTGTATTAAAGAACACCTTAATTTTTCAGTAGATTTGTTACCCAGGGTAAGAATCCTCTGGATTTAAACACTCTAGAACAAATGAGTCTGTTAGTGATGGGATACAGTTAAACACTCTTAGAGATTTTTCAGAAGTTCTTGCAGTTCTCTTTGCCAGTGTGTGCTAAGAGAAATGACCTTGGCCTCATGCAGATTTGTATTTTTCTGCACAGGAGGGCATTTTGTTCTTTTATCAAGTCAAAGGTCTGAAGTACGAGATGAAAATCTATGCGGATGTCTTACAACCCATATCCAGCCTCGTATTCTCCCCTGATTACACTGTACTTCTGCTTGTCACTGACCAGGTATAGCATTTGAGATAGCAGCATTCCATAATGGGATGTTCCTGTGATGCTATATGTGTATGCTGAGACTATTAGTATGAAATGTCTGTAATGTAATCACACAAGTCACAAATTATATCAGAAGAGAAAACATCTTGTATTTTTAATGAAAGATTGGAAAGACTTTTAATGAAACACAGAACAATTGTCTCCTACAGGTGGTGAATTATATAGTACCTAATGCTGAGATTTCCCAGCATAAACACTTGTGTGTGTACAGTGGAGTAACTTTAGGGTCTGCAGTGTGTTCAGGTCACATTGGACTGAATGAGCACGAGCTCTGGGCTTGGTGTGTGCCTGCACAGTAAGAAAAGAGTAGCCTGCGTACATCAGACCTACTGTGGCTATGCAGTAGAGCTGTTCTGTTCATGCACCTGAATTTGTCTGGCATCCCAGTCCAAGATCCTTCTTTGACCATCCTGATGTACAGGAATTTATACAACGGTCCCAAATCCTCAAATTCTGTCTGTTCTTGCAGACCTTTAATTGTTGAAATTGGCATTTTTAAAGCTTTTAAAATGTGTGTGTCAGGAGGTTCTGTATTCAGGACAGCAGTGCAGTGGTGACTTCAGTCACACTGAATTCATTCTCCTTTTGTAAAATAAGAAGATCTAAAATCTTGGTTAATGTTGGTTATGAAATGTTTCTAAGAGGCTTTGAGATCTTTAGATAAAAACATCTCTTAAAGCCTAAGATTTATGATATGTGTTTTATGTTGGTTTAGAATATTTAGTGATCCTTGGAGCAACATGAAATAGAGTGGTTTTAAATTATTTTATTAAAGCAATTTTGAGAAATAAAACTTCTTGAAAATGTGACTGGCTGAGTCACTCTAAAATGAACTAACCTGATCTTCAGCGAGTGTCAATTAATGTAATCCATTGATTTCATGACAATTCTACTGGGCACATTTTACCTCAGGTTAGAGTCAAATATAAAACTTTAAAGAGTGAAGCTTAGAAAGATGGGTATTTTTTGTGGAAGTCTTCAGAAGTTTTTAATGAAAACTTTCATAGCCCAATGATGAATTATTTCTCTTTCTTTTTAAGGGGACACTCTACACTTACAAACCTGCCCACAGTGGAGAAGCTGTCAAACTCCTGGACACATGCAGAAGTTGTTTTCTGGCAGCTGATTTTCTTATGGGGAACAAGTACTGTGTGGTAAGAAACAGTATTCTGGTTTATGTATAATAGTGGCTCTTTTCAGGTAAGCAGTATGTTGCTAAGGTCCAGAATCTAAAGCCTTGCAGGGACTGGGACTGTCCTGATATTTGCTATGGAAGTAAATGGCATTAATTTAGGTATGGCCTATAAAAGGCTCAGAACTTGCCCTAGAATGCAGGGTAGACAATTCACAGATTGCTAAAATGTCATATTGGTTCTGCTGTTGATTTGTGTGACTCGCTACATTCAGGAACATAGCTGAGCAAAAGGTGGATTCGCTTCAGAGACTAGATAGTGGAACAAGAAATTCCTACTGATCTTTTCAGCCTTCAGCACAAATTGGAACAGCCTGAGAGATGCCTCTGTCCTGGGTCCAGGGACAAAAAAGGTCTTACTCATGAATCTGTCCATTCTGAGAAATTCCTTGCTTTCTTCCTGTGTCTTTGACTCCTGCCAGATGTATTTTAGCCAGCAGTTCATCTCCAAGCTATCAATTCTTCAAGTAGCCAGCCTAGGAACCTGGGGTCTTAAACAATTAGGTTTGCTGAATCTGTTTGTTTGTCATTAGCATCGAAATGATAAATTTTGCTTGACTCTCAAAGAGCAATGTGAGGGTTGATTGATCTCTAGCTATACTTTACTGTGGAATTACAAAAGTGCCTGGATACAAGAACTCAAGCTCCATTAGGATCTTTTCTCATGTGAGAAAACATGACCTCTTCTTAAGCACTTTCTTATGCATAGAAAATGACAAGCAGGTTTTTCTGTTGCTGGCTGAATGGTGGGAGTGCTAATATTGATCGAGCTTACATGTGTTGTCCTAGATTATCTCATTCTGCTTAAAGACCATTCCTGCAGTTGCAGCAATTCACAGAAAATATTGTTTTCCTTAGGCAGGTGTACCTTTCAGCAGCTGGACTTAACAGAAAAGCAAGATAATTCCAAGCAAAACTCGTAACCTTTGATCTGCCATGCTCAGACATTAGCTGAATTTATATTCTATACAAGATAACTAGTCACTTCCAGGCTATTTGGTTATTCCACCCTCCTTTGACTATGTTTTTCTCTCTTCAACAGTCTGTAACAATATCAGGTGAAGTACAAGTTTGGTTCCTGAAAGATGGAACTGGCCTCAGCAAGCTAAACCTTGATGTTCAGGTACATGTAACCAGGGGCTCATATAGTGACTGATACTTAAAATTTTCTTTGATATTTTTTAATTCATAGCATAATATTCCACAGATTTGGATCAAGCAGGGATAAGGAAAGCTCAGTGGTGTCTTTAAACATCCCATGAAACAGATTTAAAAATTATTGTCTTTCAGAATGTTTCCTTGAACTAATCTTGTATTTAACCCGGTAATAAAGCAGAGGAAACATTTCAACCTAATGCCCTCATGATCTGTCCTTAAGCACATGTTTGTAAATAATAACCTAAATTTTTATGATGTTACATTATTAATTTTTTTTTAATGAGTGTCAGAACAGAAAGAAAAGTTTCAGGTGTCTAAAAACTAAATGCCTTGACTGATCTGAAAAACACGTTTTAAGAACTGAGCTGATTGATAGAAGTATTTCAAACTGTTAATGCTTTGCCCTAATTTAAGAGGCATTCAAACCCTAAATCTGACGTAGTAAGGAAAAAAAAATCCCTTTCTATAACAGCTGTACCCATAACAGTGCACTCACTGTTTTATTTAGCTGGAACTTCTTCCTCTTAAAATCTGGATAGTTTATATTATTTTGTTTTCTGAGGAGCACAGAGTTATCTTTTGGTATGTAGATACAGAGTGTAGGCAAAATTCCTGTGATATTTCTAAAACTTTCAGGGTTTGTTTTTTTTTTTTTAGATTTCAGGTTTCTTCTCCAAATTTTAGGGACTTTTAAATAGAAGAAATTGGGTACTGGCATGTAGGATAATAGATAGAAAGATATGGAACTGTTAAGTATCTTTTACTTCCCAACTAGGCAACTGCTATGGCTTGCTGTCCCTCCTCCAACAGTGTTGCTGTAGGGACCAAAAGAGGTCAAATCTATTTCCTTGATGTTTCGGAAGCTGAAGCTCCACGGGTTGTTCACAGAATTTTTGTTTCTGAATTTCCAGTGCTGTCTTTACAGTAAGTATCTAGTTACAAGGGCAGGAATATTGTCTACTTGCTGCTTGAGTAATGCTGTTAAACAAGAAAACTGAAGTGTTTATGCTAAAAATTAAAATATTTTAACAGCTTCAATTATTTTAATTGCTTGCAAAAGGAGTAATAGCAATATTTATATGAGAAAAACAGAATAAAACCTGTATTTTAAGAAGCTTTAACTGTGCACCAAAGATACCGATACGTAAGATACTTTTTGACAGATCCCCCCCATATGCAGTAATTACACACAATTCAATGTATCTGAATTTAGAAGGTTATTTCTCACTGAATACAATTTTGAGGTTTTATGAAGTTAAGTTTAAGCCTTTTGGTCATCCATTCTTATATGGTGGATTTTTATTACCATTGCTGATTATTCATTTGCTTACAGTTCTGAATTTACCAGTCCTCTTATAATTAGATCTAGTGATCTAAAAGGCTTTTTTTGTTGTTGTTTGTTTGTTTGTTTTTCCAGTTATTGAGAAGTCTGAGCCTATTTTATTTCAACTTATCATGAAATAGAATGGATTTTGAACTGTTAAGCTTTCATATAAATCTGCATGTTATTTGGAGACTTAGACATAATCTCTTTTCACAGTTACCTAAGCTAAACCACTAAAAATAGATACAGAAAGCAACTTATTCAAAGTCAAATCAATGCAAACAAAGACATGGCTATTCAAATAATACCAAAGTCTGTATAATAGTTTTATTTTTAAAGAAGTCAACTTCAGAGAAAGATTTAATAAAGCTGTTCTCATAGATGCTATTGGAATATTGTTGCTTTAGATTGACCACACACTCAATTAGAAATTACACGTGTAGCGCTGGGCTTTATAACCCTCTAAACCTAGAAGCTGAAAATCCAGTTGCGTTTTTGCCCTCAATGAAGTCAGCAGAGATATGGGAGGGGAATTACTTGACCTTTTTTATTGACTGTATTGAATTGGGGTTTACTTGGATTTATATTTTACCTAGTTATGATCAGAGTGGCCAGTTCCTCATTGCTAGAGCTACACAAGGACACATCTTTATTCTAGATGCCCGGCCTTCAAAATTATTCCAAGTTCTTGGATACGTAGGTAATATATGTAACAACATTAATTGCTTTGTGTTTTCACTATTTGCTGCATTTTAAGCATATTTGCTGGTCAGACTAAGCCACTCTCCTTATTTTTTTTTTTGAAGACTAAACATATTCTTCCCACCTATTTTCCAACCCTAATTTGCCCTAGCCAATCTGTATACTTAGAGATCACATCTGTGCATATAGATCTTTGTCATAATTTTGACTATAAAATACATTATTTTATCATTTTAATTGGTTTAACAAATATTGTATTACATTTCCTTAGATAATTTTCGGAATTTGCCTCATCATGTTCTCATTGTCTGGCTGGCTTCTTGGAGGCTTTTCTGTGCTTTATCTGGAAGTTATCAGCAGCCTCCAAATTGCAACAGTTCAAGCTGGATGTAAACTCAGATTTGAATGTTTAATGTAATAATAACACACTGGTGCTTAGCATTCTCAGCACCCGATGCCTCAAGCTGAAGTTTTGTGCCTCCAGCACTTTCTGAAAACAGACTGTGGCTTGTCTGACATTTTAATGCAAGTTCAAAACTGTGTGCTTCAGCTGAGATGTATTCTAAACAGAGATCTCATTTTGTTTCACATGGAATCTTAGTAAAAGCAATACTACCATGCTTCAGTAACAAATTGCATTGTTGTTCTCTACCTGCTTCAGAGTTGGCAGGTGAAGTGCTGGATCTTTCTGTAGTTTCTGACTTCAAGAATGACTTAGTTGAAGTGGTGGTACTTCTTAATGTAACAGTGGTCCAGCGAGCAAGACTGGAAACTTTTTGTCTATCTTCAGCACTCGCAACAGGTAAGAGCTGAATTATAGACTGTGTGATATTTTTCTAAGGCAAAACCATATTGCCATCCTTAACACAAAATACTGACAATCTCTTTCTTCATCTCATCTGTACATTCTCTGGTGGCACCATTTCTCACTTGCAGAATCACAAAGCCACCACTTAGTCACAACTACTGCTACTGGTTGTTGTTGTTGTTATTATAATTGCTGCCAGGAAGAGGCCTTGAGCTTGGCATCACCCATATTCAGACTAGCATATCAACTGTTAAGTGGAATCAGCCTCAATAGCCTCTTCAAATAGTTATTATAGGTATATAATGTCTCATTACAAAAACTTAAAGGTTGATATATTAAATAAAAAAAAAGATTACCAGTGTTTGTTATAGCTTTTCTATATAAAAGCACCAAGGGAAAAGTCCACTGTATTTAAAAAATATTAACTTGTATCTGAATAAGGAACCTTACAGAGAAACATTCAATGAAAAACTAGCACTATGAGGAAAAGGGGAGAATTAAGGAGACTTAGAAATGATGCATCTCTATTCACTTTCTGGAAATCTCACCCTGTATATCTGCAGTGTGCAATGTACATACTGGGACATCACAGTTGGCATCTGTATTCATAATCTGACAGTAAAATGAAGGGAACTTGTTAGTCTTTCACTAAATCAGGTAACCCATGCTAAATGCTCCAATCCTGTTCATGATTTGTTTTATATATGCCATGCTCAACTATGCAACTGTGAAACAACCCAGCAATTTGTTTGTGTCATTCAGGACATAGGTGTAATATAGCATTTTAGAAGTACTAAAGCAAAAACAAATGAACCTGAGTGTCATGAGTGATCAGAGAGCTTTTAATTGTGTCTGATATTCTAGGAATGCATCAATGGGGGACACTTGCTGGAATCAGCTGGGAAACTAATTCAGTTGTCATTAAAAGGCTTAAATGCATTAACTTAACTAAGGCACAGTGCAGGCTAGTATTACTCTTTGTGTCCTCACCATGCAGCCAGTGCAGGACAGGCTTGGTTGGCAGTGGCACCAAACATTTCTAGTTTTTTGTGTCTTCCACCTAAGTATTGCCAAATCAGTATAATTTGAGTGATGTCTTCAATTTATCACATTACAACGAAAGGCATCCTGTGTTCATCGTTAAGATGCTATTTTTATATCACTTTATTCCTTTTATATGCAATTGAATTACTTACAAAGCCTTTTGTGGAGAAAACTTCTGTAAAATTGTTAGAAAGCCTCGTGTCAGACTTTCTAGTTATTTATATTTAATTTTTAAAAGGCCTTACAATTTACAAACGTTTTAAAAGGTAGTTGTCAATGAAGTTAGTATTTTCTTTAAATATTCACTAACGTTGGGCTTCTTTTTGTGCCTATTTTTAAACATAAAATGGAGCTTGACTTTCAAAGTTGCTGAAGATCCAGAGTTACTGCATCAGTCTTGATTTCAGGTGTCTCTCTAAAGCTCAAATTAAAGAAACAAAAAGAATAAAATGACCTTTGGAAGATGTGAAGTATTTTAACCAGTACTACCCAGGCTGTGTGTACTTCATGGCAACCTGCCTGAATAAGTTCTGGATAAAGGCAATGATGACGTGAACCTCCATGCAAATTAATTAGCACTGCTTAAGTAATACCCAAGTAGAAGGGTAAATCAGTGCATGCAAATTGTCACATCACTATGATTAAACTGTTTCTAGTACTTCTTCAGAGCTAGTAGAGCTATCCCTCTGCTTCACTGCAGTGTGCAACATCAGCCAACCCACAGAGTTAGTGTTCAAGCAAGGTATCTTAATTCCCAATCTCCTCTTTGAAAACTCACATCATGCTCACTCCTTGCTGAGATTGTTTTTTATAATTACTTGAGAGATGGAGCACCTGCATTAGTGGTAGTGATGCCTCTTGCTGTTTCTTTTTTTTAATCTTTTAGATAATGATAAGTATGTTAATGCACATGGAATGTTTGATGCTAGTGCCATTAAAATGAAGCAATATGATCTGGATTACTCTTTGAGCTCAGCAGTCAAGTTGAAGGATAACACTGTGTATGGCTACTGTACCTGTGCACCTTTCATCTGTAAATACCATCTCTCTGAAGAGGTAATTCTCTGAAGCTGCTTTATTTTGGGTCATGGTTAAATACCAGTGAACAAGGCTGTGGATGAAGTGAATATAGCGGATATTATCTTAAAGAAATCCTCTCGGCATTAAAAATACCTACTCCATCCGTAAACATCAACTTTTGGTATCCTACCACCTGCTCAGAAACCTGGCAAACGCAATGTCCTTTTCCTCTTACAGAGAAAGCTAAATAGTTGTTCTTAAAACTCATATGGCTTGCAGGCACTTCACATGTAGCTTCTCTGTTGGAGCTGTGCTTTTGTACAGTCAGCTGAGTAACCTGAATATCCAGCTATTAAAGGATCTGAGCCAATGTGAGCCCATGACTCTAAGATGCAACTGCAAACCCAAGCCAGCCCTGCCTTACGATGAAGTAGTGGCAGCTTTAGGAAGACACTGTCATTGGCTGTTGTTGAACTTGAGCTCTCTGAAGCTCATAGGTCTCCCTCAGTTTAAGAGTTAGGTCAAGCAAGAAGGTGAATTCCAAGGGTGAGCATTTCTTGTTGACATGTCCCTTACTTTCTGAGCCAAGAATCTCCAGGCCCAAACATACTGCATACAAACCCTTCTGAGGAGATGAGAAGCAAATCAGCAGCGTAGCAATGGTACTGCTTCCTGAGCTTGGAAATCCAGCAACATTTGAAATTGCACTGCATGTGGTAACCCACAAACTCTCACTAGACTTCTCAAAATGGCATAGATACTGCCATCATCTGAACTGCTGCTAACAGTTTGGTTTTTTGGCAGAATATGTCAGAAGATTCATCAGTGTTTCTATCAGAAAAGAGGACTCCTGGCAATCAGCTGGGATCAGGCTTCCTCTGTTTATCACCCAACAGCCGGTGGCTGGCATCAGCAGCAAAGGATGGTGTTTTGCTCATCTATGATACTTTTACTATGGTAGGTAGGCATCCAGGCACAGACTTTGTTTGGTTTACATGAGAAAGAGGTGTGAAAGCTACTTTCTTCTACTGTAAGCTTCTCTTTACTTGAATATAAGGTGTTCCAGAAAAAATTATGTTGAACATGAGCTGACATAGAATTATACCGTAGAATTGTTTTCATAATGAATATGTACACAGTTATACAAACTACTTTCTTCTCCAGTATATCTTAGAGTAGATAATTTTATTACTCTTCTTTATATTCTGCAAAATCAGTATACTATGAACTTGCCCCATCTGTAGTCAAACGTTTTAAACTCATAAATCCCAGTCTTTTATGTACTTTGGATTGACTTTTACCTAAAAGCAAGGAAGTATAATTTACAGATATATCCTATCAGAAAAACATGTTTATTGACACTGCTTCTGTAACTTTTCTAGGATATACTTGCTCAAAAGCATTGTCACTCACATCAAGGAGGGGGAATCAGATCCGTGGTGTTTTCGCTGGATGGCAAATTCATCCTCGTTAATGGCAAAAATGATGGTGCCCTGGTGTGTCTGAAATGGAAGTATGTATAAAGTGGCAGACCAACATTGCTATAAATTCTTTATATCCTGACAGACTAATTTTTGTATCTGTTTCTGATTCTAGACTTCCTATTTATTAGTCTCAAAGTAAAGAGAAGAATTGGATAGAAATAAAATCGCTCCTCTGATCTTTAGAGGCTGTGTACCTAGCTCATGAAAAGTCTGGTACTTTGGGTATGGTTGCAATACAAGATACACAAGTATCTTCTGATAAGTGTTACCCATAGTGAGTTTCTTATAATTTTCAAATAAACCATCTGCAAGAAGTTCTCTGGGGATGTAAGGGGTGTAATCTCATGAGACACTATTTTAACTCAGCTGTTAGGAGACATCACAGCTTTAATGGAAATTCAACTTTGGCTGTAGAGAACTCATAACAGACATCAGGAGTAAGAGGCACTTGAAACTACAGCTTTTCTGTAATATATGTATATATTACAGAAATAGATAACAATTGTTCATGTAGATGCATGGATTGAAGATGTCTCTGCCAGAGCAATATTTCTAAGCTGGGTAACCAATCTTTTAGAATTTATAGTTCTGTGGAAACTTCATTTAATTCTGCGATTCTAGGACTCAAACAATACTGAATCATATGGAAAAATATTGACTAGATATTTTTAAACAACTTAATAATTGTGTTATAATTAAAAATATTTAATACTTCTTTTGTTTTCCGTAATACATATAAAATACATCAGTTCCCTTTCTGTTCACTAGGAAGTTAAAGAAAACTGAAGCTAAGGAAGCTGCTTCTCACTGGAAATCTCTTCTGGCTATACTGAATAAGTCTACTTCAAATGAAAATGCTTTTTTAAAATCTATGGCAGCATGGCAGTTTGACCCAGAATCCAAATTAGGATCACTTCCAGAAGAGAAAGTTAAGGTATTTTCTTTGTTTTTATGGGAGAAAAAAAGTCTGATCATTATCCTTGAATTGCACATGATAAAAACTGTCCTCAGAAGAAACTCTCATCCTTTTGTAGAAGTAAAAGAATACCCCTGAGGACAGGCTGAATATGCTTAATTATTCATTTGTAGAATACTATTATCAAGGAGATGGAATAGTTATGTGAGGATGACATTCACATCATCAATTTCACTTGGTTTCTTCAGCCACAGAAATGTCATTCCCAGTGTGATGTTACTGGTATACATTGTGTGCAGTAGTCATATATTTTTCTGCTGGAATCAGGCAAAACAGTGATTACAGAGATTAGTATGGTCAGCCCATTTGAGTAAAAAGGCTTTGCGTAATAACAAAGTTTTGCAGGATCCAATCTGGAGACTGATTAGGGAATAAAAATGTTGTAACACTGGAATTTGGTGGTGGTATTTCTAATGTGAGTCCATTTTTTATTTCATCTCTGTCTCTCTTTCATTCTAAGTACCTGAGATGGATATTTATGTCTTTAATTTCAGGAGGCACCACTTAAATCTTCCAATGTAGAGGTGACACAAGAAGATGGAAACATCACCACTTTGTATTCAGCTGGAACCAATGACATGACATGGATAGGTCAGAAAATAAAGAAGGTACTTTCATAGAACAAATATTAATCAAAACCAGAATTTTCAAGAGTCACTAGTGATTTGCAGTGCCAAATTATATGCTGTAAAGGAATCTAGTTTCTAAAGCTTTTCTGACATTTGGACCTCTCTTTAAGGCATCACAGTCTAGACTTTTAGAAATCCTAGCTCAAGGTTATAAATGCATCAGAGAAAGTAGGTAGCACAATAGGAGCTCTGAACAAAAAAAGAAAAGCCAGAGAAATTAGTTCCTTTAGAAACTTGTTAAAACTTTCTTCTAAATGTCAAAAAATTGCGTGGAAGATTATTACCAGAAACCAAGCAGTGCTCTCTTCTTCCCAAGGGCCAGAATAACAAATTCTACAGCACTAAAAAATCAATACTCAACAATATGACATTAATTACAGAACCCCTGAGGTTTATTTCAGGTTAAGGCTGAGGTATGTTATGTAACCAAATGTTTTATAAGTAAAAGTGCATCAAAGGTTTACAGAGAGGGGATTTAGCACTTTGTGAGCCTGGAAACTGCTATGTTAATGTTAGCATAGATTTCTTTTTTCCCCAGAAATGTGAATTTAGGAATGCTAGGAGGTGCTTTCTGATATGAGTCAGAGCTATGTATTTTTGTCCAGCTTTTGAGGTTCAGTGATAGGACAAAGCACCATATCGTTGCTTTCTGGGTGAATCCAGGAGTGTCTTTCCAAATTATGATGCAGTTTCCTAAGTGGCTCAAGTCATTCTAAGACTGAAAGTGGCATCTTCTCCATCACTCTCCCAGACATGTATTCCTGTTCCTGCTTTGATGCTGGTGCTCATGCTTTGGCATCTCTGCTGGGGTTTTCTGACAAATCTATGTGACTGTGCATACACACATGTACCACACGATTATTAGTATCAGGTAAGGATAGGTGATGAGAAGCAAAGGTTGAAGGGCAGCAATGTGATCCTGGGTTGTTTTAAGATGCTCATTAATGTCCTAAGAGACTTGCATCTGACTGTTAGAGGATGGAGTCCATCTAAGGTCAGAAGGATACATCCCTTTCTTTCAATCAATAGCTATAATCCTACTTAAAGTTGTAAATTTATTTTAGAAAGCAAATTCCAGAGGTGCAGACTATTTGCAAAATTTTCCCAAAGAGATGAACTGTCAAGGCTGTAGGGGCAAAGAAACTTCCACTGCTTCCAGAATGAGTACCAGATGTTAGTTTACTTGTGTCTTTAAATATGCCACTGGAAATGCTTAGTGACAATGAAAAATCTGAGGAATAGAAAACACTTCAGAAATTCTGGCAGTACGCTTTCTGCAGTTGAGTGTTTCTGTAATCATTGCACTTGTAATTACTTCTTTCTTAAAATATTTTCTTTCCTTTACACTCTGTTGCTGTACAACCAATTTACAACGTGACCTGGTTGTACAATCTTCTTTCTCTTGAGCATTTCTAAGAATCACCCTATTGAATTAGGATTATGTCTGTTTCAGTTATTAAGCCTTACGAGTTTTATTTTGTGTACAGATAATGTTCCTTTGGATTATTTACTTCTTTTTTTTTTCTGTTCTTGTCTATTTTTGTCTTTCAACAATATATTTAATGTATGTCAGGTTATGAAAGAAGAGACTCAGAGGTTTGGTAACCAGAAGAAAGAGCTGGAAATGGAAGTACAAAAGCTGCGTGAAACTGTGAGTTTCTTACAAGGGTAATGGCTCAGCTTTCCAGTTTGCTTTACAAGTATCCTTCCTTTATGGCTATCATCTCTGGCACTCAATTACATTTTGGTCATAAACTCTGAGCAGACAGGTAAAGAGATGCTCCTTCAGGGACTATGCACTGAACCTGTCAGGAACTACTGTCTGGTTCTTAGTTTTCTTTGCTCCAAATTTTGTTCCCTATACCTTGAGCAATCTATCCCTTCAGCAGGCCTGTCTAACAACCTTCCATTGTAGAAACTACTGTCCTCTCTTCTTCCTTCTGTTTCTTTCCATAAAAACTGCTATCTGCAAGAGAATAAGGCAGAGGGTCAACTAGAGCAGTCTGCTCAGGACCATGTCCAGACAGATTTTGATTATTTCCAGAGATGGAGACTCCATGACCCTTCTGGGCAATCTGTTCCAGTACTTGGTCACCCTCAGAGTAAACAAGTGTTTCCTGATGTTTGAGCAAAATCTCTTGTGTTTCGGTTTGTGCCCATTGCCTCTGGTCCTGTCACTGGGCACCACTGAAAAGTGCCTGCCTTTGCCCTTTTAGCACCCTCCCTTCAGGTATTATATACATTGAGGAGATTCCCGCCAAGCCATTTCTTTCTTAGGCTGAACAGTCCCAGTTCTCAGCCTTTCCTCATATGAGAGATGCTCCAGTTCCATAATCACCTTTATTGGACTCTCTCCAGTCTGCCCATGTCTCTCACCTCTCTCAACCCGCTAGCAACACTCTCAGTACAGCCCAGGGATACCATTAGCCTTTTTTGCTGCAAGGGCACATTGCTGGCTCATGTTCAACTTAGTGTCCACCAAGACCACTAGTTACTTTTCTGCAAAGTTGTTTTCCAGTTGCCCAGCACCCAGCATATCCTGGTGCATGAGGCTGTGCAGGATTTTGCACTTCCCTTTGTTGAGCTGTGTGAGATAGATAATAAAGAGATAACAACTTAATAACGTTCACAGAACCAGAGAATAAAGAATTGTGTACTACAGGTTCTTAGAAAGTATACACAACTTCACTTATAACACCCAAATCAACTTTAAGAGAAAGATGAAATATATTCACATAGTATACATGTCACTAGCTACAGACAACACATTCTACCACTTACCATGAAGCGGTTGAAAGTGGAGGCAATTAAAATCATTTTCTCTGATATCAAGTTCTATAGTGTTAAAAATCCCATTTCCTCTATTCACATTCAAATTGCTTTTTATTCCTTATACCTGTTTTTTAAAAAAAACAGATTCAGAAAATGATGCTTGAAAATGAACAGGTGCCAGACATTGAGAAACTAGAGCCACAGGAGTTCAACCTGGATATAGAAGAACAGGAGAAAGCTCAAGCAGAGGCTGAACAAAAAGTGGCCATGGTATGTTAGAATGGGGGGGAACATCTTAAAACAAGCAGTGAAAAGGAGAAAGAATGATTGAAGAACAGCTGTTTGCTGATGAGAAGGAGGAAAAGTTAAAAGTATTTGTAGCAGGTGAAGCTGCTGATGCATTGTAAATTGGAATAGGATCTATGCCAGAAACTGTAAATCTGACACTGGCCATGGGCTCATTGCTTAAGCTCCAGAATGCTTTTCTTCACATATAAAATGTGTTTCAGTAGTATGGAATATAGCTTTTGGAGAAGATAGCTGCAGTAGTCTAAGATGATGAAATACTGGTAATTCGTTCCATCTGTTAGGTTTCATTCAATAACTCAATGCAAACTGCCCACATCTTCTTGTTTTGCACCACATCATGTTATTTTCTGTGTCTTGAAAGACAAGGAAAGAGATTGAGATGGAGAATTTAGCCAACTGCTATGTGCAGGATGTCATCAAACGTGAGTGCTGGGATGCTATGTGTGTAAAAGGACGTGCAGTTAAGGTAACCTCTGCTTTCTAATTCATTTTCTGCAGTAGTTTCTTGATTCTTTAAGGTACAAAGACAAAATAAATGGAAGTATAACACATTTCTGATTTATGTATGGCATGGGAAAAAACTTCCTTCTTCTCAGGGCGCATGCAAATCTTTTATTCACTTCGTTTTGTCTGAGCCTGGCTGATTTTACCTTCTAAGGTGGGTAAGAGTGCTGATAAGCAAATAAGCAACTCTTCAATTCCTTTGTGTCAGAGAATATCTTTATGCCGTGTTGCTAAAAGGAGAAGTTATGTTAGTTTTCTGCTTGCAGTCAGTATGACTTCTGCTACACAGAACATAAAGGCAAAATTTAACCCTGATTTAGGCTGTTTTAAACAGAAGGAGATTGGTCAAACTGCTGATGTTGTTTAATCTCAAGAGTGGTGAAAGACCAAGTCACTTAAAAAACCCAATTTTTTGTTGAATTTTGTGGATAAAGATTTTAAGAAGTCTTTATAATTGTTCAGTCTTCAGATATTGAAAAATGAATTGATAGATGCTTTCTGGAGAACTTTTTACCTTCGGGGGGTTGTTTTGGGTTGGGTTTTTTTTGGTTGGTTGGTTTTTGGTTTGTTTGTTTTTAATTTGAACAGAGCTTCCATATGGCTCATGAAGTGAAGAATTATCCATTGAAGAAACGTAGTAAAGAAGAGCTGGAAACACTGGAGAAAGTTCTCCGGTTAAAGAAGATTGAGACAGCTGATGTTAAGGTACAATCTCTTTGAAGTATTGCATAAAGGCATTTCAGATCAGGATGTTCTGAGTTGGCATCTTAACCCTTTTTTAGATAGTTAATTTCTAGGGTCTGTTTTCTTGCTATAGAGATTATTCAAAAAAACCCAAAAAGATAAGATTAATCATAGAATCCCAGCTTGGAAGGGACCTCAAGGATCATCTGGTCAAATTTTTCTTGGCAAACACAGTCTAGACCAGGTGGCCCAGCACCGCCTCCAACTGGATCTTAAAAGTATCCAATATGGGGAAATTCACCACTTCCTGAGGAGATTATTCCAATGGCTGATTGTTCTCATTGTGAAAGATTTTCCTCTAGTGTCCAACCAGAATCTCCCCAGCAGTAACTTGTGCCCATTATCCCTTGTCTTTTCCATGTGACACCTGCAAAAAGGGAGTCTCTGTCTTTTTTGTAGCCACCCTTTAAATACTAGGCCATGCTGATGAGGTCCCCCCTGAGCCTTCTTTTCTCCAGGCTGAACAAACCCAGGTGTCTCAGCCTTTCCTCATTCAGCAGGCTTCCAGGTTCTTTGATCATCATTGTGGCCCTTCTCTGGACCCTCTCCAGCCTGTCCACATCATTTTTGTCTAGTAGGGAGCAAAACTGAATGCAGTTTTCCATGGGTGGCTTTACAAGAGCTGAGCAGAGTGGGACAATGACCTCTCTATCTCTGCTGGTGATACCCTTGTTGATCCCCCAGCAAAGTAGATCCCAGCCTGTGCTGCGCTTTCGACAACCCTCACAGGAAAAGTGTTTTATTATGTTTAAGTTGGATGTCCTGTATTTCTATGTATACCAATTTTCTCTCAATCTGTCACTGAGCATCACTGAGAAGAGTCTGGCTCTGTTGTCCTTACTCCCCACCATCATTTTTTTATATGCATTATTAATATTCCCCCATGCCTTCTCCTTCTTGAGATCAAACAATTTCAGCCCTCTCAACCTGCCCTCACATGTAGATGCTTCAAAGGCTTAATTGTATCAGTGGCCTATCACTGGGCTTGCTCCAGTATGCCTATATCTTTCTTTTACTGGAGAACATACAAATGGACCCAATATTCTAGATAGGAACCTTTCAACTTGTATTATTTTGATCTCTGAGCTTAATTGCAAAATATAACCTTTAGGGTTTTTTTCATACATTTGCCACTGGATCATGTACAAAATTAACAGTTACCATCTTTGTGATACTCATGTTCAGAAGAAAAGTCCTGAGACTGAGTATTATTTTCCTTGTATTATCTAAGGGAGAAGGAGAGAAGGCAGAAGTAACGGCTGATGATAGTGCATCTTGCTGCCTGATTGGAAGTCTGAGCTCTCAGTATGGTGGAGACACATCTATTCTATACAGCCAATGGGACTTGCACACCAGGGAGCAGAAAGTCAACCAGATAGTATTGCTGAAGGTGATGTCTTCTTAAATTTGTATTACTGCAGTGACACTGTCATACCTATTGGTTCTCACAGCAGTCACAGCCACTGTTAGATTTTGGGCATACTGACACTATACAGTGGAGAGTCACATAGGTCTTTGAGTTACTGAGATGAAAGCTGATAAATGCACACGGTGCAGTAGAGCACCATGTGGATTTGCCAGCTCAGCTCTGGAAGAAAAACATTTTAATGAAATTGGTTACCCAGTCTGAGGGTATCTGTATTTGCCCACTGTGCTTCAGTTGAAGAGTTTGTATAGCCAAAGCTGGCTTGTACATCTCAGCATGCCCTGTGAAAACATGACCTCTTCTCTATTATTTGCTGCTGAATGAAAGCTGGATCCTCACACCATTTCCTTTCTCTCCAGTCTTACCAACCCTTTATTTGGGGTCTTTAATGTTCCTGTTATTTATTATTCATTACTAGCAGACTCTCTTACTTCTCTTCTCCCAGCCAGTTTATTAAGTAGTAAACATGCTACAGAATAGGCTTCTTACAAAGATGATATACAAGGGTATAAGTGGTTAAACTATTACAAAGCATTGCCTTCTCAGAGCTCTTTAAGGCTGTAAGTGGTAGCAAAGCTCAATGATTATGCATTTTAATACATAAAATCTAGTAGATAAGCTGGTGTTTAAAGTAAATGGGGAAGAAACACAAGGAGCACTTTTAGATGTAAGCTTGGATGTAACAAGATCTTTCTACTGTATGGCTTTAAAGACATGTATTATATATCTAAGTGTAAATATCTCTTCAGTGTTCCTGGCCAACACAGTGTGCTTGCTGATAGCTACATGGCTGAATAGAGATTGAGCACAACATTTTTTCTCCCAGCAACATTGTACCTTATCTGCCAGCCTTCCTTATTGCATCCTAACTTACTATTATATTGGAAATAAATGAAATGTGTCCAACATGGACACAAATTGCAGGCAGCTAAGCGTCTCAAAATGTGAACTTTAAATAGAACTGAAATCCTTTTCATGTTTCATTTTAATAAATTGACACAGGAGGAGAGACACATGGTTTTCTCTCAATATTCTACTTTGCTGTGTTAAGATCAATTAACTAAAGGAATAATTTATCCACTAAGGATATGTATTTGTTAAAAACATTTTAAGGTCTCAGGTGTTTTTAAATACTAGCTTCCAATGTTTGTTTACTTAATGGGCACATTTTACTTACATATGTCAGACAGAAAAGCACATGAAAGCACATTGAAAATGCAGGTTGCATCACTTGAAAATCAGGAAAGTATGTCCTTAACTCTGCCTTCCTGCACCTGTGATTTACAATCAATAGATTTATAGGTCACATGTTTTTTTCTCTGAAGCCCCTTCTTCTTTCAGCTGATGAATGCAAAACCCAGCAAATATAAAGCAGCCAAAGTTTTTATCTACTTTTAGCTGCAGTATGTTTCATTCAGAATCTTTATCAAATGGTAAATACATAGAAAAAAAGGAATAAAAATTTCTAGGGGAAATACAAAAAAAAACCCCAGATAATCTGCCCACCTCTATTTAACAAATAGATCAAACTCTGCCCTTAGGATTTTCAGCAAAGGGCTTTACCAGTTTATCCCCTTGTCACACATACAAATACATTTATGATTCTGATTGCTTGAGGGGTGGTCTGTAATCATGGATGTGATCTGTGCAGCATTGCTTTTTTCCTTTTTTGGTATTTCAGGACATCATTTACCACTTGAAAACTGCTTTTAATAAGGAATTTGACAAAGTTGCACGACAAAAGGAGCAGGACATAGCACGAGTGAAAGAAAGAAACCTGAGGATCCATGAAATCTTGGCACAGCTTGAACTCCAAGTGGAAGTGTGGGAGCCAGCCCTTACAGATGATGAGGTGCCAGAGCGAGCACTCACTGTTCAGGATTCAGAGGTGTCTGAAAAATAAATCCTTCTCTTTCACCCACTCAATTACAGTTCTCTAACTCTTCTCATTTCCAGACATTGTGTCAGTACAGAGGTGCCCGTGTACTTAAAATCATCTTTTTGAGTCTTTTGCTTCCCTTTCCTTGTTAGGGAGAAAACTCTTAATAAGTCAATCTGAAATGAGTAAGTGTATGCAATCTTAATTTATTGCTATTAAAAGGTTTTAATTGCCCATAGATGAGGTAGGAATTCCCCCTGTTGTGGACAATAAGATTCAAACCAGGCTCACAGGGATTACTTCTGTAGATAAGGGTTTCTCTGTTTTCTCTGAGCACCATTTTGAAACTAAGTAGTTTCAAACTAAGTATTTAGGTACTAAAGGATACTTAGTACTGTACTTACTAAATTAATAAAGAAAAAAGTTTTTCTTTTACAATATATTTCACTGATATCACTGCTCTTTTGGTCAGTCTTCCTCACTTCTCTCTGCTCTCCCACCAGTCCGTGATATTCCACTGTCAGAAAAGGTATGCACAAAACACAATTAATTTCAACAAAAATAATGCTAGTTTGTATTTTAGCATTTTTCAATATAAGTTTTGGAGATGTTTAAAAGAACAATTTTCTTCTTGAGGAATATCATCATAGAGAAGAGAGACAAAAAGCATTAAGGAATAATATGACACCATTGTAGTGATTTAATCCCAGCTGGCAACTAAGCACCACACATCTGCTTGCTCACTCCCTGGTGGGATGGGGAAGAGTAAAAGTGAGAAAACTCATAGGCTGAGATAAAAACAGTTAATAATTGAAATAAAATAAATTATAATAATAGTAACAATACTAGCAAAAGTAATAACACTAAATTGTGATGAAAAGGAAAACAAAAGAGAGGAATAAAACCCCATAACAAAAAGGGATGTAAATGAAAAACAATTGCTCACCACCAACCAAACTATGCAAAGCCTGTTCCCGAGCTTTGGCAAACTTTCTCCCTAGTTTATATGCTGAGCATGACATCACATGTATGGAATATCCCTTTGGCCAGTTTGGTTCAGCTGTCCTGGCTGTGTGCCCTCCCAGCTTCTCGTGTCTGCCCAGCCTCTTCCCTGGCAGGGCAGCATGAGAAGGCAAAAAGTCCTTGACTTTGTGTAAGCACTGCTCAGCAAAAACTAGTTAGTGTGTTATCAACATTATTCTCACCCCAAATCCAAAACACATGATTTGTGCCTGCTACTAGGAAGAAAAAAGCTGAAACCAGGATACCTGCCTTTCCAAACATTCTTAGCCCACACGTGATCATGTTTGGAGAAAAGAACCTTGATATGAATGTCATTTTCTTCTTTCAGATTAAAGCTGAAAAATACTTGACTCAAGAAGAAAGAGAGAAAGCAGAAATGCTGGCTAAGCTTGAAATGGAAAGACAACTTGCAGCTACGGTACTTAAAGTAGCATTCTTTTACTGAATAGCCCTTTGTCTCTGGTTAGGCTTATTTTGTTAATGCTGCACTGGAATATTCCAGTAATATAGTGTGGAAGAATAAATTTAGAATGGTTGGTAATGATGATGTGTGATTATAATGATTCTTTTTTCCTCTTATTATCATTTATAATCACATAATCCTTTTTTACATAGACCATCTGGGGGAAGAAAAGATTGAGTGTTCAGCTCACAATTTTAACAAATGTGCTTAGTGGCAATTAAAAACACCATTTCAGGTGACTGGGGACTAGATACATTTCTAACTGCATGCTATTGCTCAGTCAAGAGCTTTTTGCTTGATAGGTGTTTGCTGACTGCGCAACCTCTATTCTTCAGGGATCAAACTAGAAGATCATAATACTTTCCTCTGGCTTTAAAATAAATCTGTGAAAAGCCTAAGATGGTTGTGGTATATGAACATCTGACCATCAGAAAACACTCTGAGACTTTGAGCATATTTCACATGCATCACTGAAGAGCATTAAACTACCAGTGACACACAGAATAATTGTATGGGTGTTCTAGAGGTGAACTACCCTATTATCATTCCCAAAACTTCCGATTACTGTACTTCCTTTTGTACCCTAAAATATTTTTTGTGCTTGTTCCCAGGACAATGAGAGACTGCGTGCTCTTGATGACATGATGGGTGGAGTGCTAGAAGTCAGAAAGGAAGACATCTTGAAAATGGTGAGCTGCCTTTCTGCCATAGCTCTTGTGTAGCTTGTGGGCTTTTAAGGAAATGTGAAATACAACTAGCAAGTATTTTCAACCTAAGTGATGGAGGAAAGGCAGAGAATTGTAGAATTGCATTATGCCTAGATAGACTTCATAAGAGATCACACACTGGATTCAAAAGAGACCACAAGATTCTAGTGCCTGCATATGATTTACCCATCCACACCTGTCCCTATCACAGTGGAATACTAAAGGAACATAATCTAGTATTACCATTACAACAAGTGTATTGCTGAGTGAAGGGACTATTATCCATGGATGTGATCTTACAGAAAACTACTGTGTTCCATTTAACTCAGCAAATAGAGATAGTACAGGAGTAGAATAAGGAAAGAATGTGAAGGAGTGTCACAGAAAAAGGAGAGGGCAGACCCAGGCACTCCTCCTGGAATTGATCTGATTTGGAAAATTAGGATTCCACTTAGGAGTATACATTAGCATGGAGTTAGATTTGAGATTCTATCAGTTCTATATAATTCTATCTAAAAAAAAGTGTGGTATATCTTGTACCAACATTAGTATATTTGAGTACAAAATACTTGTATTTTACAAGATCTAGCAGTGAATTCCTGTAAGGGAGAATAGCACAGTATGTACACCAAAACTCCCTGTGCAAGTAACAGAGCAGAGAAACAGAACATATATGTTATTTAGACTTAAGGCTTGTACCTTACTTACCACTAAGACATATCTTTCATTAAATTTGATGTGTGTTATATTTTGTTAGTGTGCTGATGGAGACCTTGTATTGCTTTTGAAGCATATTTGTCTTTAATGTTTCCAGGATATTCCTTCACCTGCTTTTATATCCAAACCTGAGCACCTTTGGACTGATGAAGAAAAGAAAAAATTCAGGGACTATGAGAAAAAAGTCAAGGAGCTGAATGAAGAAAAAGAAAATTACAGAATGGTAAATTAAAAGGAGAAAAGTTGTGGATTTGTTCACAGTGCTCATGACCAAAGCTTCTGATCTTTCTCAGGAGCTACTTCTAAAAATGAATACTAATAAATAAATAAACAAAGAACAAATGAAGAACAAAGATCATGTGGCATATTAAATAACTCCTAGCTTAGACAGTAAAATAAGGCAATCTCTACTTACACTGATCAATATGTGCCAAAACTTGTGATATTTGACAAAAGGGAACTTTCCTTCACAAATGTACCAGTAGTCCGAAAATGGGGTTTTTTTCAGCTTCCATTCCCAGAGTTACTGATGCCATGCAAAAATAATACAGTTATATTTATCCTTCAAAGTGGTATTTGAACAACATAACTTGGTAGCCTGGCAGCACTCTGCTTCCAAACGAGTAATTTTTGGAACCGTTTGGCTGAAGAATAGAGTTCAGCATTATGCATTCTCCAGCATCTGATATACTATATCAGAGCTTATTTGTTCCTTCAGATGTAATATTGCTGCTTTTGTCCTTCCCTTCCCAGTCACTGGAAGATGAATTGGAGAAGCTTGAAGCTTCCATACAAGAAACAACACAGAATTTTGATGAGGCTGTGCGCAAACTCTCTGAAAAGAAAGTGGAATTAGAGATGGTCATCTGTCAGGTACTGCAGAGAACATTCGTTTTTCATCTAT